ATATCAATTGTTTATATGGATTCCACATAAGATATTTGATAAGTTCACAACTTTATATCTAAAAAATTATCTGCGTGCACAATGTGATCAAACATAATATTGTCAATTGACAAAAATAAAAATAAAATATAAATAAGAAACAAAAAATAAATTAAAAATTAGATATTTTTAAAAAGATATTCCATAATATTTGATTAAACACTAAATCCGGCTATTTGAAATCAATTATATTTAAAAGCAGTATTATTATGGAACCAAATGGTATGGAATATCGTTTTAAAAACAGTATAATTATGATATCAAGATATTTAACCACGATTCAATCTTTTAAATTTAATCCATGTCTATTTTTAGACTTATAAATTCATTTTAATATAATATAAATTTACCGTAAAAATGAGAGTTGGACTATAAAGAATATAAATGCTAAATAAAATTTAATTATTTGAACTGTACACTTTATTATATACATATAAATAAATCGCTTATTTGAACCTTAAATATTTTATTTTTTTCATATATAGTTATGCATTATATGCAACTTAACTAAAAGTAAAAAATATTCTAAAGATTAATTTCAATCATGGTAACATGTTTTTTAAAATTGTCACAATTTTCGATTAACTAATCCACTACTCATGTAAACATCTTTTTGTTATTATATACTATTTTCTTTTTATCATTTTGAATCATTTTCTTATCACGTTTTTTATGAAATATATTTTTCATTTAAAAACTGTGATTTACATGTTCTCCGATTCATTTAGTTATTTTTTATCTACAAATGATAAAATATCGTTGTTGTTTTTTTAAACGTAATTATTTTTATAAATATGTTTTACAAAAGATACAACCAAAATTCTAAATCTCTGTTAAAACATAACAAAACAAAATCATTCTCATCTTTTGGAATGAATTTGGCATAAAAAATGAGAATGATTGACAAAAAAAAGTTATACTCAAAATCCACACTTTAACTTTAAGGTAACAATTTTTCTTATACTCGATATAAAATTAAACTTCACCAGATAATCATAACTTTAGTATCTATCACAATATTACATATTTTCACTATAATTTTATTTCATGGTGTTAACATTCCGAAATTAAACAAAAAAAAAAATGAAGGAATGAGGTGTCTATGCAATTCACAATTACTAAGTGGAGAGCAATCTTGGTAAATATCGATTTGCAGTTACCAAGTGAAAAATAATTTTGAATGGAAAAACGTGAAAAATAATTTTGAATGAAAAAACAAAGATTTTTTTAATAATGTATGATTTTTTTCATGATGATCGTTTTATGATTACCTAACAAATGTTCTATGTATTGTAACTTATTGATTAATAGCCTTAAATTATAAATTTTACCAAAATAAATATAGTCTGTGCATCGCACGGTATACGTACTAGTAGTTCATAAAACTAGAATGAATTTTAAAGAAATAGGAGGGAATATAATTAACGGTGATTGCTTTTGAAAAAGGAAGGGAAAAAGTAAGAGCTTGATTGTTTATGAAATAATTTGTTCAAAATGAGTTATTTTGGTTAACCATAGTTAATTTTGAAAAAGGTGATTTGGTTAGTTGTTAGTGGAATTTTAAGAATGTATTAAAATAATATTAAAATAAAATGATTAAAATTGATTTGATGTAAAAGTAAGAGATAAATGATTGGAAATGATAGGTAGTTAAAATTATGTGAGTAGATGAATAGTGAATTAAAGTTGATGTGATGTATAAGAATGATTGGTTTGTATTATTTAATTATATAAATAATACTCCCTCCTATTAAAGTTGAGATAGATTCTGAGTTGAAATAAAAGTGAGTAAATTATTTGATATACAATCAAACCCTAAGCTTTTAATGAAATTTCATGCCAAGTACCAATAAATGATTACTAGATCCAATAACTGATTACTAGATCCAATAAATGATATTGTAATGATTACAAGATCCAATAAATGGAATTTAAACACTATAAATATTTGAAGAATAAATATTGGCAGCCCATTTCGAACATAAGTCCGTGTAAGTACACGAGTGATGTCCCGATTTTTGACTCAAAACCCGGGTCGTCGAGTGTAGGCTACAGAGCAACGGGCCACGTAGACGTGGCCAACTGCCAGGTTGGCGGACCTCAAATATTAGGCCCGTAAAATGGCCCGCAATTTCTATGGGCCGGGTCAATTGAAGGAAAAAAAACCTAGGTACTGCTTTGTGTAAAACTTGTCCTTAGAAGATGTTGTATTGTATATTACTTACAACACATGGATTTGAATACTCAAAATCCACACTTTAACTTTAAGGTAACAATTTTTCTTATACTCGATATAAAATTAAACTTCACCAGATAATCATAACTTTAGTATCTATCACAATATTACATATTTTTACTATAATTTTATTTCATGGTGTTAACATTCCGAAATTAAACAAAAAAAAAATGAAGGAATGAGGTGTCTATGCAATTCACAATTACTAAGTGGAGAGCAATCTTGGTAAATATCGATTTGCAGTTACCAAGTGAAAAATAATTTTGAATGGAAAAACGTGAAAAATAATTTTGAATGAAAAAATAAAGATTTTTTTAATAATGTATGATTTTTTTCATGATGATCGTTTTATGATTACCTAACAAATGTTCTATGTATTGTAACTTATTGATTAATAGCCTTAAATTATAAATTTTACCAAAATAAATATAGTCTGTGCATCGCACGGTATACGTACTAGTAGTTCATAAAACTAGAATGACGTTTAAAGAAATAGGAGGGAATATAATTAACGGTGATTGCTTTTGAAAAAGGAAGGGAAAAAGTAAGAGCTTGATTGTTTATGAAATAATTTGTTCAAAATGAGTTATTTTGGTTAACCATAGTTAATTTTGAAAAAGGTGGTATGGTTAGTTGTTAGTAGAATTTTAAGAATGTATTAAAATAATATTAAAATAAAATAATTAAAATTGATTTGATGTAAAAGTAAGAGATAAATGATTGGAAATGATAGGTAGTTAAAATTATGTGAGTAGATGAATAGTGAATTAAAGTTGATGTGATGTATAAGAATGATTGGTTGTATTATTTAATTATATAAATAATACTCCCTCCTATTTTTTTTTAAATGTCATTCTAGCTTTATCAACTATTTACTAAATAAATGTCGTTTTGGATCTTTTGTACATATTTTTCCATTATTACCCTCATTTAGCTAATAATAAATCACGTCTTTTCATAATCACTCTTCATCTTTTTCTCAAAACATTCATCTCTATCTTCATTAAATAAGGTTATTATTGACAAAAAAAATATTCTTAATAGATGTGCAACATCCCAAAACGACATATATTTAAAATAAGAGGTAGTATTAAAGATAGTGGGGTTGAGTTAAAGTTGAGTTAGATTTTGAGTTGAAATAAAAGTGAATAAATTATTTGGTATACAATCAAGCCCTAAGCTTTTCATGAAATTTCATGCCAACTACCAATAAATGATTACTAGATCCAATAACTGATTACTAGATCCAATAAATGATATTGTAATGATTACAAGATCCAATAAATGGAATTTAAACACTATAAATATTTGAAGAATAAATATTGGCAGCCCATTTCGAACATAAGTCCGTGTAAGTACACGAGTGATGTCCCGATTTTTGACTCAAAACCCGGGTCGTCGAGTGTGGGCTACAGAGCAACGGGCCACGTAGACGTGGCCAACTGCCGGGTTGGCGGACCTCAAATATTAGGCCCGTAAAACGGCCCGCAATTTCTATGGGCCGGTTCAATTGAAGGAAAAAAAAACCTAGGTACTGCTTTGTGTAAAACTTGTCCTTAGAAGATGTTGTATTGTATATTACTTACAACACATGGATTTGAATACTAATACGCTATAGCTATATGTGGATGACATAAAGCGCTTTTGCCTTTCAAGTTAGCACTAAACAAATCTGTGGACGCCAATTACATGTAACGTAAATGAAGATAAGTTTATCCTATCATGTTAGAAAGTTAGGAACTACATATATATGATACTACTATAGTTTAATTTTTGTCCTAACTCCCCATTATTTAATTATTAAAAACAAAAAATAAATGAAAATACAAA